GATCTGAGAACATTTTACCCTCTTTGCTCTTCTTAGCATCTAATGCTCCAAGTTCTTGCCTATGATTTGCACAGTGGATTGATAGTAAATGTGGAATACCTGTTTAAGTAATGTTGTCACACTGTTACGTTTACCCAGATTTACGCATGCTCCATCAGAACCTGTAGCTACAAGTTTCTCCTTCCATCTCCACTCTGAATCAACTCCTTCCATTGATTGTTCAATTGCAGCTAAAACTCCTTTAGCATGTGCATGTTCAACAGCCTCTATTTTCACAAACAAATTATTAGGAATTCCATTCTGAACAACACGGGCATAGACAATTTCATTTTCAGCAACTGACACATCCGTGGCCCCATCAAACACAATGGACAAAACATTTGCAGACTTCAGGAGACTATAGGAATCTCAGGTCCTCATATATGTAGTCAATAAACCTGTGAAAAATAATTGAGAAGGATTCTTCATAATAACTTCAATATAATAGCTAAAATTAGAAGTACAGTTATTGTAATTTATTTGAAATTGTGATTTTCAAAGGTTTAGAGTGCACAATAAAATCTGTTGTTACATGAGCACATGCTTGCTTTGGTTCGGACAGTTTGCAGAAAAAGGAAAAACCTTAGACCAAAAAAAAAAAAAAATGTCTTTTCCCTGCTACCAAGCCCCGAAATAAAAGGGTTGGTAGGTAGAAAATTATTCTTTTTTTTTTTTAATTCATATTCTTTCATATTGACCATATTAATTATTTTCCCATTGTGGTTTTCTGTGATGTAGGCCTATATATGAAATATTCAAGTCAATAAAAGATCAGTTATTCAAATTTTGTTATTTTCTTTTTTTCATGTAATTTTTGTAAAGGTTTCTGGAATCATTTAAACATTTTGTTTGATGCAGCTTGAAAAAAACTTTAGGGTCGGGCACTCAGGGGTAAAAAAACTGTCGGTCGGGTAGCTGGAAACAGACATAAGAAATACTTTAATACTTACCGACGACAAGCTTTATCAGTTCTATAACTTGCTGGTAAATCAACTCCATTTTCAGTTTGCAGTTCTATGATTCCTGAATAAAGTGAGAAGGGAAGCTCTTTTTTAGCAATGAAATATGCCGTGTTGAAGCAAGCCTCGAATTTCAATTGCTGAGTCTCATTTAACTTTTTAAATGAAATGTCCAATGCACCTACAACTTGGGGACCTGAAGATGTACTTGCAGATTCTGAAAAGTCAATATCTCCTGAATATGAACAGAAAATTGGCTTTTCCTTTCGGACTGCAATTTCATATTGTTTCTCAGCACTAATGTGTGATACACTTTTATCATGAGATTTCATGTTATCAAGTCTGTATGTGTCCGTTCCAATAACAAAACTTGATGTTGACGATGGATTATACTTGGTGCACGATTTACACTTCATCATCCCATCTTCATCATTATAATAGAGCCATGGGAAATCCTGTAGCCATTTAGGCAAGAAATCTCTTTTGCGTTTAGTTTCAACATATGTTTTCTTTGTAGCGTCCCTTCCTTTAGTCTGTTTTTCAGTGTTGCCGTCATCCTTTTTCGATGTTGTAAAGCCGAATTTCCTAAGGTCGGCCAGTCTTGTTTAGCATGTCAATGACAATCGGCAAACCTCGGCTAACTTCCATGGCTTCGTGTCGAGTGCACGGAGACGTTCGAGGAGTTCCAAGTGTGACAATGATGATAACCGGAAATAGGTCGCAATGTTTACCGGAGGAACAACTAACCCAGAAAATTGTGTGTTTTATTAGAAAATATTATATTCTCCAAGTTTACGATAATAAAATGCGTTGTGGGGACTTTTTGTGTGAGAGTTATTGTAGCTTTATGTATGTATTCAGGTTGTCTGGTCAGACAACTGCATGTGAAGTTAACTTGTCCTGACCCCATTTTCACTTGTCCCGAACAGTCGGACAACCGTTAAAGTCGAGCCTTGAGATATTTGTTAAACCGCCACCTTCCGTTCCAGTCCATTTTTGGCGGTATATCGAGGGTGGCGGTTTAACAAGGGAGCTGATCATCAGGTGATCTTTCATAAGTAAAATGTTAACAAAATGACAAAATTCAATATACAGTATACAGAAACGGAAACACTATAAATCGAAACAATGTTATATGAAAAGCACATCCGTGCTAGGGAACAATATATAATTAGGACTAACCCAGACTAGAGCCAAATTTACAAGCACCTTACCCTGAGCTTGTTGCGATTGATATTTGTCTTTAATTAGGACTAAGTTGCGTCATTCGTCAATGACGGTCACAATATATAAATGTCAGATCTATAACCTGTATCCTGGTGCAACCATTAAACATTGTCATACATTGGATCATGCATCACTTACTTGTAAGTCTCTGGAAAAACCTCTATGGGCCGCTGAATCAACGTTTCTGTGGTGGTCCGATCCACAGTTTTTTTTGCAGAGACAGACATGCTCCAATGTCCGAATCTGTTGCAGAGCTGGAGTTCTCCAGGTAGCGTAATATGATCTCTAACCCGTCTTTGGCCTCTCTGGCTGATGGAGGAGCCCGAATTACCTCAATGTCTTCAACTGCTGCTCCCAAAGAGGTCTCTGTAGTGAATTTGGAACGGGGAATGCTTTCACCATGTCCTCCTTACAAATTCTGACCAAGTCAGACATTTCCTGGTTCTGATGGTCTGGAACAAGTATGCCCCACTGCAGAATTTGTCTAACAATGTCTCTCCTTTGTTTGTGGATGGTATGCTGCAGACTTCTTATACAGGTTTATTGCTGCTTTATCTTAAAAATCAACGTGTCTGCTCATATCACAATGTACTGCAAATGAGATCCTTAGTTGCTGACAGTTGAACTCGCTCCAATAGACGTTTTCTGGCACACAAACATTGTCGATATGAAGAGCAGCTACTGCAGCGACTTCCCTCAACTAACAAGGTGCAACTTGCTGCTTAATAGTCGAATGGTATGTAAGGTTGCCAAACTCTGCACAAAAGTCACCTTCTCTGTAGGCATGAATTTCTGTGGAATTTCCAATGGTAAGACCTGGTCCGATTGGTGTCAAATCTTGAAATTCTTCGTCAGAATTTCCGATGCAAACAGAAAAGTTCTTAAGTCTATTAGGCAATAAGAGCACATTCAACAGCACATGAGAATATGAAATTTTCTTTCTGTGTTCATATATTGACTCTGTAAATTTTCCATCTAATATTATGGACAGTTTCACAGAAGTTTGTCCTGCTGCGTTGTACAGTTCTAGTACTTCTATCTCCTCCTCCCTAATAACAGGAACAAAAGGCGAACACAGATCGTTCTTCACATTGCTGTCATTGTCTCAAAACTTGAGTTCCTCTGGTAGGTCCACTGCAGAAAAATGAACCTCTGGCACTCGGGTGTAATAGTCATGGTCATTAGGGTTGACTATTGAGAGCAAAATTGACTATTGCGATAGTATTGATATTGCAAAAAGTACTATTGCGATAGTATTGACATTGCAGGATACTATTGCAATACTACTGCACTTAATTACAACTACCAAATTTTGCTCTTCTTTTATGCACTGTATTTTGTTAAGACGAAAAAGAGGTATTTATAAGAGATATCTTTTAATTCTGAAATATGTATTCCTTTACATAAGATTTTTAGAAAAGAACAAAAGCTGTTTTAACATGTGACAAAAGTTAATAACAGATAATAAACCAGGAACAAATGATCATTACTGAATATTGACCACTGACATCAAAAACTAAACTTATGCATACAGTATTCACTTCAAATGTTCATTCAAATGTCCCAATTCTTTTTCAGAAATACCAGCATATCAACATGTTCAGGTTTTAATTGTGACCTCTGGGCTGTAACTATATCTCCTGCTGTAGAAAACACCCTTTCTGATGGTACCGAAGTGGATGGAATGCATAAATATTTTTTGGCCAATAGTGACAGCTTTGGATAAGTTGAAGACTTCTTTTTCCACCACTTTAAAGGGTTTTCAGACGCATTGATAGGCGGCTCTTGCTTATACTGCTGCACCTCAATCTCGACTTGTTCTTGAACTGACTTGGGTTTTTCTACAGCGGTGATATATTGTCATGACTTAAATCATCACTTAGTTCTTGTTCCTCCTCTTCTAACTTCATCTTCTTCTGGACAGGACCTTGGGTAGAACTGCTGTCAGTTTCTAGGCTAACCACACTGAGTGTATCGGATATATCATCAAGTTGAGAATGAGATGGAAGATTTTGAACACTTTGGGGGTCAAAATCAGCCTCCTTCTTCACTGTAACATTGGACTGTAAACCTTTATTACATTCTGATATGGCTTCCAGAGTCAGCCTGTGAAATGCGTCAAGTCTCTGAGATTCTGATAGGAAAGGTAGAAGTTTGAACCAAGGATCAATTAGTGAGTTGATGGTCAGCTTGTCTCTTATGTCAATGTAGCGATTTGATAAGTCATCATGAACAGCTTTTTTTACTAGTTTGATAAGACTGCTGTCATCTTCCTTCACAGCCATGAAGCTTAACAATTGATTGTAATGATCACATATGAGTCAGACATATATGAATAAACTTCTTAGTTTATAGAAAACTCAAGCAGTCTCAAGATGGCGACAATCATCATTCAACAACATGTGCTCAATCGACTAATAATAGAGACGGATTGACGGATATACAATTTCAGGAATACGGACCAAATATCCGGAATTTATATAATAATACCAAATATCATTACATCCCTTCACCAAGATAAAATATCTAAATTTTCATTTGTATTAATTAGTTAATGAAAAATATGTTAAATTTCTGAATTTATATATGTAAATATCAATAAAGAAATATTTGAATTTAACCAGTCTTTGAGTGTCATCATTCTTTAACTAATAATGTGTAATATAATGTATTATTTTAAAACTCTAGAACTTTTACTTTAAAGTCCATATGAAAAGAATCAAACTTTTAACTTTCACATTTAAACAGTTCAATAACTAAGATCATCTATCATCTTTAACACTGTTCAATTAATCTCTGTGGCCTTTTAACAGTTCTTCCACATCTACTAGTTTTTGGTTCCACATCTGTATCAGAAACATTGGTCTGATCAGGCACATCATCAGGAATGGGTTCCAGAACATTGTTCCCAGTCTTGGGCAACTCTTCATCATCAGGAATTAACTTGAGATGTTTACGATTTCTACGAATTAGATAAGATCTAGGACCTAATTCATTCAAAACTGTTGCGCGATCTGTTGACCAGGCGTTTTGCTCCTGGATTCGAACCTTGTCACCGGGTGCAAGATTGACATGCGATTTAACATGATTTCTCTGATCATAATAGTGTTTCTGCTTCTGTTTTTCATTTTCACGCCATTTCATGATTTCAGTAGAATTGTTGTCAGCTTTCTCAATTCTTGATTTCTCTATGTAGTTAGGTAGATTTGTTTTTAGACATCTCCCCATTAGCATCTCTGCGGGTGAACGGCCATTTCCTAAAGGTGTTGTACGGTATGCTAAGAGTGCCATATGGATATCTTGGTTGCTCTCCTTATGTTTTTTCATCATGTTCTTTATTGTTTGTACAGTTCTCTTTGCAAGTCCATTAGACTGTGGGAATTTTGGACTACTGGTTATGTGTTTAATGTCCCATTCTCTCGCAAAGTCTTTAAATTCTCGACAGCTGTAACACGGTCCATTATCACTTGTAAGAATCTGTGGTACACCATGACGTGAAAATATACTTTTTAACGCATTGATAACCGCAAACGCTGTTTGGTTTGGCAATAACAAAACTTCTGGGTAGTTTGAGAAACTATCACAAGTTACAATGTAATCTTTCCCTCCTAATGAGAACAAATCTGTTGATACGCGTTCCCATGGCGATTTGGACACTGGAGTAGGTTGTAACGGTTCAGCTTGCTGTTTCATCGCGAATCTCTGACAAACATCACAGTTATCCACCACTTCGTTTATCTCTGCATTCATGTTAGGCCAAAATAAAAGTTCACGAGCACGTTTCTTACATTTTTCTCTTCCAAGATGTCCATGGTGTATTTTTGTCAGCATTTCCTTCCGTAGCTTAGCTGGAATGACTAGTCTAGTTCCTTTAAATACTAGTCCATTAATGACAGTGAGTTCATTTCTGAAATTCCAATACGGAACTACATCTGGCGTACACTTACTACGATCATCTGGCCATCCTTTCACTATTGAATTAACCACTCTCTGTAGTGTTTCATCTTGCTGTGTAGCTTCATACATTTGATCCTTTTTTGTTTCACTAACCGGTAATGTATTATAAATACAGTTGACACACATTTCTACTTCCTCAGTTAGTTTTCTGTGTATCCGCTGTTTCTAAGGATGCTCTAGAAAGTGTACCTGCTGTGTACATAAGTTTTCCTGGGGTGTGAGCTAACTTTAAGTCGTACTTTTGTAGCCTCAATCTCATTCTCTGTATCCTAGGAGGACATTCATTAAACGATTTGGCAAATATCGCAACGAACGGTTTGTGATCCGTTTCCGCTTGGAATGTTGTACCATAGATGTACTGATGGAAACGCTCGCAAGCAAATGTCAAGGCTAAGGCTTCACGTTCTATTGGCGCGTATCGACTTTCGCATTCTGTGACTGTCCTTGAAGCATAAGCTACAGGTAGCCATTCGTTGTCATAATTCTGAAGTAATACGGCTTCCAACCCTGTCTGGATCGCATCAGCAGATACCTTGATTTCTCTCTTAGGATCATAGAATTTAAGCACAGGTTCATTAGACACTAATATCTTAAGTTCTTGAAAGGCTTTTTCTTGGGGCTTATCCCAAATCCATGCATTCTCTTTCACTAACAATTTACGAAGTGGCTCTGCTTTGCTGGATAGATCAGGTAGGAATCTGGCTAAATAATTAACCATACCTAGAAATCTTTGTAATGATTTCTTATCCTCAGGTCTTTTCATCTGGTTTATTGCCGTGACTTTTTTGTCATCCGGTTTAATTCCTTCTGATGTTATAATGTCACCAAGGAAGGTAAGTTCTTGTACTCCAATAACAGTCTTGTCATTGTTGAGTCTAAGATTCGATTCTCGCGCTATATCCAGAACTTGCCTGACTCTAGCATCATGTTCCTCAACCGTTGATCCCCAAATTATGATCTCATCCATTGAGGTATCTACACCTGGGACATTCTCAAATAATGTGTGAATTATCCTGTGATACATCTCTGGTGCACACGAAATCCCAAATGGTAACCTTTTAAATCTGTAACGTCCAAATGGAGTTATAAATGTACACAAATCTGAGCTATCTTCATCTAGTTGGAGCTGCCAGAACCCACTTGATGCATCTAATTTTGAGAAAAATTTTGCTCCTGCAAACTTTGACATGATTTCTTCTCTAGTAGGAAGTTTAAAGTGCTCCCGTCTGATATATTGGTTCAAGTTTCTCGGATCAAGGCAAAGTCTTAGTTTTCCATTTGATTTTGGCACAATTACTAGCGCGTTAACCCATTCAGTAGGTTTTTCAACTTTTTCTATAACTTCCATCTGAAGCATCTTCTCGAGTTCTTTTTTTACTAGATCATATTGCGCGAATGGAATTTTACGACACGCTTCGATAGTTGGTTCTGCGTTAGCATCAATTTTGATTGACACTTTTCCAGAGAGACAACCTAATCCTTTGAAGACATCAGAATATTCACTTTCAACTTTTTTCTTGTTGAGATGTTCTACTTTCACTTTCGATTTAGGCCTTTCAATGCTCTTTGAATTCTGTTCTTTGTTTACTGCCAGCACTAATTGTACTAGTCCCATCATTTCACTACTTTTTCTACCTATGATCGGTTTTACTTCTTCTGGACATATTATGAACAATACATTGTACTGTCTATTCTTGTGTATTACTCGACAAACACACTGTCCTATAACCTCAATGGGTCCTGCGTTGTAGTGCTCTCAGTTTCACTTTCGTTTCATGTATTTTCGGCTTATTTCTCAGCTTGTCAAAGTCTTTCTTGGGTATTATATTTACATCGGACCCTGTGTCGATTTTTAATGAAATTAGGGTTCCTTGGACTTCTAACGGTGCTATCCATGTCTTGGATTCTCCACATTCAACTGAATCTATAAATAGATCATGTTCGGTAAAGTTATTTGCTTCATTGTTTACGGTATGTACTTTCTGTGGTTTCTGTTTTGATCTACAGGCTTTCGCGAAGTGGTTCTTTTTTCCACATTTCCTACAGGTTTGACCTTTTGCTGGACAGAAATCCCCTCTATGTACTAAGGCACAGGCTGAACACGTGGTGTTTGTTTTTGTTTTCTGACTATCTGAATGTGGTTTGTTTACGTTCCGAGTCCATCCTCGCTTATCCCTTAAATGTTTTGACCTCACATAATCAACATCTTGCTGTTGACTAGTTGCTAATGACTTCATATGATGATCTGTCATCGATGAAGTCTTGCATAGTTCAATGCATTTATCTAAATTCAGATCACTTTCTCTCAGTAACCTAGCTCTAAGTGTGTCGCTTCTAATCCCTTCAACAATTCTGTCTCTCAACACACCATTTGTTAAGTTACCAAATTCACAATTCTTTTGTAATATTCTCAAATCAGTCAGATATTCATCAAATGTTTCATCGGGTTTTTGTGATCTCCTATTGAACACGTGTCTTTCGTAGGTTACGTTTTTTTTAGGTGAACAATAGTTAGTAAATTTTTTTATCAAAGGTTCAATCTTGTCCTTATCAGCATCATCAAATGTCATCGTATTGAAAATCTCAACTGCTGTCTCACCTGCCAGAGTTAAAAACGTAGCACATTGTTTTTTCTCGTCGAGTTCGTCCCCTGCAGTGGCAGTCATATATAGCCTGTACTGTTGTAGCCATCTTCTCCAATTCTCCGACACATTTCCTTCAAAAGAGAGGTATTTCGGCGACGGTAGTTTGTGTTCCATCTTCCTGACACCATGTAATGATCACATATGAGTCTGACATATATGAATAAACTTCTTAGTTTATAGAAAACTCAAGCAGTCTCAAGATGGCGACAATCATCATTCAACAACATGTGCTCAATCGACTAATAATAGAGACGGATTGACGGATATACAATTTCAGGAATACGGACCAAATATCCGGAATTTATATAATAATACCAAATATCATTACATTGATGTTGTAGTGGCAGAATCAAGGACACTGTAGGTATAGCTTCTTCGCAAAGGGCTACAGTTGCAACTTTAAGTGGGGTGAGGACTTTTTCAAGTTCTTCAGCTGCAGAAATGTCAGATTCTATGAGACTGTTCAGATTCATTTTACCCCTAAGTTCTTTAGATGTCAGAGCAGAGTATATAGCTGGCTGTTGCTCCAGAAATCGGGTTACCATATCTAATGCTGAATTCCAGGGAGTCTGGACATCGATTATCAGTTTGTGTTCTGGTAACTGCAGTAATTTTTGTTTTCCTTTCAGAATTACCAAAGCTTGTGGACTTACGATGTTTCTCATCTTTCCAAGCAGCTTTGCCACAGAGTTTATTTTTAATGATTTGCTACACGCTAAATTCAAAGTATGCGCAAAGCATGGCACGTGGAGAATATTGGCTGCACTGTCACTGACAAGGGGAATATCGGGCTGTAAATTCCATTCCTTTGTGGCCTCTTTCAGAACCTCTGCTATGTTGAGGCCTGTATGACTTTCAGGCATTGATCTGGTCTGAAAAACAAAATAATATGAATCAATTAATTACTAGTTTCTTTAGTTTGCATATATATATCTTTGGTTATATCAAGGGGACCACTGACCAGTGCACCTATTTATGTTTTCCAAGTTGCTCACATTACTTCAGTACACTCTTCAGGACACTGACTACTCTCTCACATGATAAATAATCAAGGGTGAAATGAATGTTTTCACCTACTCCTACCAGAAAGGTTGAATGCATGACTCAACTGCACCTAGGACTAACTACTACAAATTGCAGAGTGTTTTTCATTAATTCATTTCTTTGTTAACAGTACAATAACCTGACCTATTTCAATAATAACTACAATATGTATTGATAAAATCATTAAAATGTCATCATTTTTTTCAGTAGCTGTGTACAATTAAATAGACTAAGTTTACTTAAGTGAAGTTAATTCAGTATCTTAATTGTTTAAGTAGAATGACAGAAAATGTCAGGAATATCAATTTTATATCATATCATTTTATTGATATTTCTGGGATATAATAAGAAAAGAAACTACTAAATTTTACACTATATATCAACTATACATTTCAATTTCATGTGAGTATCCTTTAAATCCTTTTGCACTTTAAAGCCTTGCTGGTTACTGGTGAAGTGAGTTTCAGGTAACAAAGACATACAAAACAGAGCTGTTGTTTCACTTTCAATAAAAAAATCAAGCTGAAAATTGTTGACTTAAAAAGCAGATCTAAGTAAAATTTATTTTTGAATCTACCTGTAAAACGAAATTTCTCAGATTCCACTCCTCGTCAATGTGAGAACTGGTGATGGTAACATAGGAATCTGTCGCCCTGCTAGTCCACCCGTCACTGGTGATTGCAGAATAGCATCCATTAAGATCTTTTTTAACAGAACTGTGTATTTTCTGGTATACTTCTGGAATAACCTTTTCAGAAAAATGCTGCCGTGAGGGTATCTGATATTTTGGTTCTAGGACATGAAGCAAATTCCTGAACCCAGCATTCTGTACCACAGAATAAGGTCTTAAATCTTTCACAATAAATTTAGCAATCGCCTCTGTGATGGCCTTGCCCCTTGCAGATGTATGTGATAATTTGCTGCCGCCGAAAATACTATAGAAAGGTGTGGATGATTGGCTTGTGCTAGGATTCTGATCATCGGATGATGGGGAATACCTGGTCTTCTGCGTGGTATCGATCGGGCTGAATGTTGAATGTTTCCTTTTCAGATGATCCGATAAATTTGTCATATTTCCGCTATACTTCAAGATGGTTCTGCATAATTTGCATCCTACACGTTTTTTATCGACCTGATTGTTCTCTTTTACAAAACCAAACTGGGTCCATACTGACGATTTTCCGGCTTTGTTGGGCACTATCTCGAATGACAAAGCAGACGATGTACCTGACGCCATTTTCATAATAAACGTTTCCTCCGGTGATTATTCGCTAATTCGGCAAAAAGTATTTTATGACGAAACATAAACTATAATGCTCCTCGCTAATTTTAAAAATCAAAAGGACATGTTAATTTGACTTCGGTAAGACAGATTAGAAA